CACCTGGTTAGGGTTAGGAAAGGGTTATGGTTGGGGTTGGGGTTGGGTTTGGGTTTTAATATGGCTGTACCGGGCTGCTGTTTGGTGTGTGTGATATGGAAGGAGAGAAATGGTGATGTGGAATAGTTTTGCTCCTGCGCTTGGAGGACCAGGGTTTGATTCCCAAGCAAACGGTAGACCACAGGACCTAAGGACAGAAGAAGCGGCACGCCCAGTTTTATTTCTGAGTGGGTGGTGGCTGTTTGATGGGGTGATTGAGGGGGCGGGGTCCAGGTTGAATCTGTGGTTACGGTGGGGGTAATATTAGATGGTGATGTTTTGTTATGGTAGAGCTGTGGTGAGCACTCAAACAGAGCATTCAAAATGAGAGGCTTCGCCATGGGAGATTGGGGTTCAAGTCCCGGTCCCTGCTGCATCAGTCCCCGGACCTGTGGGCCCCCCAGGTAACATCCAAGCACATAAGAAAATACCTGGCTGAAAATACCTGGTTTGGTCATTACAAACATGGCTGAATATGTCCCGCCTCTTGGTAAAGCATACCCGCTTTTTTCACTATAATATCAATGTGGGTCTTGAACAGTTGTCCGCTGCTTGCCAGCAGTCTCGCCGAGGTCTAACGCATTGCACCATGTGGATTAGAATATCAGCTCATATACCTGTAATCTTAACCACGCCACTTTAGAAAAATTGATATGATATGTATGAAATATATAAATGTTATGGATCTGTGGTTTGAAGAAATGTACATTTTATTCTGGCAACTGGACTGAAACTTGAGAGCTTTAACAACAGTAACTAAGGGGAGGGTGGGGCTAAGCAAAGGGTCACTTACTCAACTTAAGAAAATCTGTCACTCTCTTGCTCTCATTTTCTCTCCCAGCTCTCTACATCATCCTTTTTAATTCATCAGGATCAGCAGATAACTAGAGGCTCAGGCTTTTGAAGCCTCTTTTGTATAAACCAAAGGTCTTTTCTATCTTGTCTTTGTGTGGCGGGCAGATAATAGTCCTAATAGAAACTAGAGTAAATCTTACAGCTACACCCAAACACATATTAGCTTAGACTATTTTAGCCCCAGAGGTAAATACAGCTAATGACAGACGACTAATGAAAATAATATATTTGCAGATCCAGGCTGCTCTGTGTCGACCCTGCCTCCAATTCCCCTCGCCGCCAGCCTGTCCATCCCCTTAATCACACACATGCAGCCATATGCATGCACACACTCCTCTTGATATGCCTTTACATGGGTAAATAGACAGGACTAGCCAAGACCTGCAGCAGCCTGTTGCTAGGTTACCTCTTTAGTAATTTCTTCTCATCCTGGGTAACAAACAGCTCCTCTGTTGCCTGGTGCACACACACACACACACACACACACACACACACACACACACGTAGTATGTGCACACACAAACATTGTCCATCTCTGTGTGGACCGAGAGAGCACCTGTCTGCTTTATGGGTTTAATTTCAGCAAGAGAGGACAAAGGGGACACTCACTTGGCCTTTGCGTCCTCCCTGCCGCTCCCTCTCAGCCCAGCTGTCCTTAGAGACTGCAAACAGATAGATGGATGTGTGTTTGTGCAATGACTGCACTCAGACATCTTTTTTTTCTATATGAGGCTATATTGCAGATGGAGGTCAAAGGACCAGAGTTTGTGTGAGCGAAGTGCAGAAATGTATCATTTCTGTGTAGAAATGCTGATTTCTTAGACGTTAACTCAGCCAACATGAAGGAGAGTGAAGGATTTGAGTTAAAGACTTTTTATTTTAGGAAGACAGCGAGTCACAGAACACTGCTGTGATTTGGGGGTGGTGTTCAATGTGCATCGGATCAAACAGCCAGAGAGGAACTGCTACAGCTGATTATCTGCCCATTTAGAAATGAGACAGATATGCTATTTCATGCTCAGATAACACATAGCACACAGTCTATACTTTGTTTCCTGGCCCAATAAGTACCAAAGAATGTTATTCAAACAAAGAGGCACAGTTTCTAGTCACTCGGCTTGTCTCACAGTTGTTCAAGTTCAAGTTTACTATGTAAACAATTTATACTTAAATGCTTGTGCTCAGTGGCACTTTCCGGACAACAATAAATAAATAACAATACCTACAATATACAGCACAAAAAGTCTACAAGCAACAAAGTGCAACAATGTGCAGTGTGTACGAATGCGTCAACTGCTAAGCGACCTGACAGCCCGAGGAATGAAGCTGTTGCTGAGATAGTTGGTGTGGGATTTGATGCTATGATAGTGTTTTTTTTTTCATGGTCGGACTGAGAATAGAGCATGAGCGGAATGTCAGGTATCCTTAAGGATGTTTTGGGCTGTCCTTTGAGCCCAGTCTCACTCTGAAGTCTTCGAAATCCAGCGCTTGGGCAGTGACTTGCAGCATCAGACACCAAGGAAAAAGGTGTCCTTCAAGTCAGCATGATACGCGGCTAGTTGCCGTTTTTGTTAAATGGTGCCTGGCTGTGTCAGGGGGAAACACGGCGGGACATGGATGAAAGTAAGGGGGGCGAAAGTCCGACTGGGGCGGGCTGGAGGTGGTGGTGGATGGGTCCAACAAACACCAACTTTCACCCGAGAGAGTGGTGTTTGCATCCCATAAGATTATAAAGCCAAACCCTGTTCTTTATTCCTAAACCTAACCATGTGTGTTTGTTGATGAAGGGAAAAAAACGTCAAATTGCGGTGTTGTACTGACGTAGTGCGTCTATCTTTAAAGAGCCTGTATGTAAATAGTAAATTTCCAGTGAAAATGGAAGTGTGTTTTGAAAGAAGATGATACAGCAGAACTTGACACGGTGTCCTAGAACGTCAACAACCGACATGTCGTATGTGGACGTGGAAAGTCCATGACCACATGCCGATATGTGACAAGATCAGAGTGAGAATGTGTTGTTCCTTTGCAACGAGTGGTGTAAATCTTATGAAGCTGAGGTAGTTCTGTGCCAATGAAATTGAATTGTGAGGTTATTAATGTTTTAATAAAGCACCATTTTTTAATTCTTGAAATTTAGTTTGGTCAAAAATATATTGTTTCTAGACGTGTAAGATTTGTAAAGATCAAAACTTTTAGCCTATAATGATCAAAAAACTTTGCCAGCTGAAAGTAAGTAACTTACTGGATACATGTAAAACAACTATTTACAAGGCTATTAGCAACACACAAAGCCAGAATTCCAGACTGAAATATATAATTAAGTCATGCCATGTAATAATGCTTTTTTGCTAGATGCATGTGTCATGACCCGTCTTGCTACTGGAGTACATGTTTATCTGTCATCCCTGTGTGTCCTATTTTATTTTGGTAACCATTGTCTCATCTCGATTTAGATCCCACGACTTGTCAATTGTCCCTCCTTTGTGACTGCTCACCCCGCTCTAATGTGTTTCACCTGTGTCTCATTGTCTCCCTTGTCTAGTCCTTGTCCTCTCCTCCTTTGTTGCAAGAATGCTTCAATCTTTGTGTGAAAGTTCCAGCATTTTGTAGTGTTTCCTGTGAGTGTATGCTGGAGCAGTTTTGCCTTTTGACCTATTGATTCAGATAACCTTTTCCTGTGTGATTGATCACACGTGTTGACCTGAGCCTGATTTAAAAACACTGAACTTTTGTCCGACCGTGTGTCCTAATACCCATACCACTATACTATGTAGCAGGGATGCTAAACTTGCTTTGCCCGGGGGCCATTTTTGCAAAACAAAAGGAGGCCAGGGGCCAGTGGCAGCATCCCCACACAGGTCAGGTGTCCACAGTGGTGTTTCAAGAAATTGAGGATAGTCGGGGCTTGGCCTGCACCTCTGTCTGTCCTCCCCTGAAACTGTTTTTTAAAACAAACTCTAATTTGAATCTTTTTTATGCACCCTGGTGCATTATTTGCATAACAAGTATAAGACAGTGCAAGTAAAAACAGTATGAATCCTTGAATTTTTATTGTAAATTCAAATATAGTTTAGGGGCCACCTATCAGTATCACTACAATATAGTATGCCAGAAAAAGATTTAGTATGTCCCAATACATAGCATGTAAAATGCAGTATGCCAAAATATCAGGATGTTCTGCTACATCCGGTCAGATTTTCTGACCCACAATCTTCTGTAGTGTGGAAGATCCGTTGCATCAGCTGAGCTGCAGACATATGACAGTTTGTTGAAATCTGTTAGATGCTGCAATGACAGATGACAGCGCATTAAAGTGACCGATGACCAACTGATAAGTAATAATTGGAATATTAATTGTTTAGTAATATATAATAAATCATCAAATGGCATACGTATTAAATGGGGTGTATCTTTCTTTGTGTCCTAACAACGTCAATATATGACGATAAGACAAATGGGTCTATTCAGCTATTCTTTTAAAGTTAATGTACACAGTGTGCATTCAGCAGCTTTATACATCCTAAAGACTGAAAATAATAAGTCAACTAAGTCTAAAAATAATAAACCAGTGTTGAGTTACATGGGACTTAACCCCCAGTCTCCTGTGTGAAAGTCCTGTGCTTCCACCATGTCCTACTCCGTCTGTGGACTGTGTTGCTCTTTACACTACGTCACCTGACTTTCTGCGAGTTTTTCTTACAGATGTACCACTTTAATATCAGAAAATATCCGAGACTGGCGAGTACGAGCCCTAACCATGACCTCTTTGCCCTAATCCAACTGCTTCCGACCTCTACGCGTCAACATGATGTGTACTAGCCAATCACATCACACCGTGGGATCCATAATAAGGTGTTGTGGAGCTGAATAGCTGACTATTCTCACCTGGGTGCAAATAGACACTCTGTACTTTTTTATATATATCTCTGTGTGTCTCATTAAGGCATGTGTCAACGGGACCGGTTACAGTGATTGGTATTGCAGACACACAGGGCGACGGATACAACCTGAGCCACCTGTTCTCTCCCCCTCATGTTTCATCTCCTTGTTTCTCTCTCGCCCCCTCTTTCTCATCCTCTTCACTCTCTCCCTGTCTTACTCCGCAGCGAAAAACTGCTCCTACTTCAAACACTTTACCTCAGGGGAAGAAGCTGAAGTTTTTGAAGTGAAGACCCAGAAAGGTGGGTGCCTCCTCACTGCCACCCTGACTACATATTACAACAGATCCTGTTTTTTTTCATACCCAACAGTCTGTTAAAGAATGTGTACAGTAAACCAGGGAAACACATGGATATATGCTTAGATATCGTAGTTTATCCCATGTAAGACCCCTACAGACACTGCAACCTGGTGCTCTACACACAAGTAATGTTCAATAGCAAAAAGGCTTTGTAGGAAATGCTTATGCAGCCTGGGTTTTTCTTTTCAATATACCAAGGAAACGTTTGAACACAAACTCATTTACACGCACACAGTACTTCATGTAAGATAAGAACGAAATCTGATCCAACATCCTCTGATTTTAATCTTCTCCTCCTCTGCCATTTTCAAAGTAAACATATTTCCAGGAAACCGCTTCTCTGTTGGCTCCATGTTGGCGAGCTGATTCTTTCAGCCTCTGATTAGATGCAGAAAAACACACAGGGAAGCGTGTGGGACACAGCTAGATACTCATGAAGGCAGGAAATTACACAACATTGTCAAAGTATTAGATAAATTGAGGTAGATGTACAGTACACCGTCGAGAAATCAGTGAAGACACATTAAGAATTTAAAATTCACAGTGTTTCATACATGGTAGAAAATTAACAGGGTCATACATTTATTTTAGGGCAGGATACAAAGAATTACAGACAAACATCAGTTCAACAGATGCAGTTTTTACACTGTAACTGTACATACACTTGGATGTATTACTGAATGTGCCTTACTGTAGGGTTGTGGACCAAACAAGATATTTGACGACGTCATCTTGAGCTTTGGGATACACTGGTCAACCTTTTTCATCATTTTCTGACATATTGTAAAGCAAACAACATATCGATTTATCGAGACAAATAATCAACAGATTAATTGACAGTGTTGCAGCCCTTAAAATTTTACTTAAATTATAACGTGCCAACCAGGAGGGAAATTGATGACCATAAAGAAATGCAAAGGAACTACAAAGAGACACAAAAAAACACTAATGTGGACAAAACAGCCACAAAGAGATGCAAAAGGACCAAAAAAAAGGTTCAAATTGCCTCAATAAGACACACAAAATTACCACAAAGACACACTCAACCACACGTAGATGCATGCTGACTACAAAGAGATGCAAAACAACAAAAAAAATGAGGAAGAACAGCCATAGTCTGGACCCAGGGGCCTGTTGTTAGCCCATCAATCAACAGGCTGAATCCAAAAAGCCAAGACAAGGACACTGGGAAACAAAAGGCTGGAGACACACAAGAACATAAGATGAGCTGGCACCCAGAAAAAACAAGACACACACTTAGAGGCTGTTTACATGTACACGGTGATTTTGATAAACGGAGACATCTTCCTTTGTTTGTGCCCTTCGTTTACACGCAAACGGAGATTTCTCCTCTGAAAATGAGTCTTTCTAAAAACTCTGGCCAGAGTGGAGATTTTGGAAAACTCCGGTTGCACGTTTGCATGTAAACTGAGATAAACGGAGTTATAGGCAGCCGACGTCACAGTATGCGCTGGAACTTGCGCCTGTGTCAAAAGTGCGACCTATGTTGCTATGGTGACAATGGATACATGGAAGGCTTGAGTTTCTCGTTACACTGCCACCTACAGGTTTGGCATGCTCTTGTGTATATATACACGGGTAAGTGTAAACGAAGATCTTTTTGAAAACGGAGACGGTGAAATGTCCGTTTATGAAAATAGCCGGCAACGTGTAAACGGCCTCTAAATACTCTGGTGGGGAGAAGGATAATGAGACACAGGTGAGGCTAATCAGGGCGGGACAGACAATCAGACACAGGTGAAGTCATCAGAAGGGAGGGAAAACACACAAGTGATCTGACACGAGAGGAGATGTGAGTTTCACAGTAAAACAGGAAACAACATAAATCAATGAAATAAAAACACTAATAAATTAAAGGTTCAGTGTGTAAGATTCAGGGGGATTTAGTGGCATCTAATAAATGAGGATGGCAGGTTGCAACCAGCTGAAACTTCTCCCAGTGGGAATTCATGCAGTGTTCATTGTTTAGGAGGTTTTCACTGGGAGCTGAATTATCCACAGAGGTCTCCGCTTCTCCACAACAAGTGCACCCAGTGACTAAAAGCTGTTAAAGCACTGAATAAAGCAGTGTCACATTACAAATCAGTGTTTTTCCTATGCTGCTCATTGTAGATGGGCTGCTAATATGGTGGCCAACACAAAAATGGAAAACATGAATGACTATATCTAGAGCCAGTGTTTGGTTTGTCCATTCTGGGCTACTGTAGAAACATGGCAGTGCAACATGGTGATCTCTATTGAGGACCCATTCCCTATGTAGATATGAAGGGTTCATTCTAATGTAACGAAAACACAACAATTGTTATTATCAGGTGATTATACTCTAAAGAAAACATACTTATCATATTATCTTCTTATATTCTTTATTAAGCAAAACAAGTGGAAAATATGTAGAGCTGCCCTTGACTAGGAACTTTCCGAGTGAACCAATAGTTGTCGTTTAGGGTCATTAGTCAACTAGTCACCCGCATGTTTACGATATTAATGTAATTATTAAATGATATATATTTTGGGCGGGGCAACACAATGGTTTGAGTTGAAGGTGTGAGAAAGAATAGTATCAGTAACATTGTTAACACTGTGCTACATTACAGAGAAATACAAAACCGTACTAATGAACCTTCATTAATATAGGCCTATATTTTATCTACAAGTGCACGTCACACACTGAGCGAGCCTCCTGTTAATGACGCTGTGGGCTAATGGGCATGTAGCTACTTCCATGTTTCAGATGATACGTCATGTTTGTAGTTGACCAATGAAGATGAGTTTACATATCACCTTGGGTTCATCCTTCACCTTCTCAAAATAATCCCACACTTTGGATTTCCTGCCCGACATGTTATTAACTAGCCTGTGGAATAATCGCAGGTACCAGCCCTGGAAATGAACGTGACTCCTAATAGAGTTTCACCTTTTTTTTCTGCGACTAAGCAACCAATGAAATCTTGCCAACTCGACTACTGTTTGACTGACTATTAGCGGGCAGCCCTGAAAATGTATAAAAGTCGAAAGAGAGGCACAGTTTTATGTAGCAGCAGAAAATACAAGAAAAGCCTGAAAATCTGGTGATGCTACATGACACAAGTTGCAGTAGTGATCAGGTGTGAACACAACATGCACAAGTGAAACACATAAAGAGACAATGACACACATGCACGCTAACACAGACCAACAGCCCTCACACCGACAGCGTAAGGTTATTTTACACGTGGTGTTTCTCCTCAGTCGGGGTGCTGAAACAGAATAGGATGCTCCGAGGATCATTTCTGTCACAGTTGGAGTGTTACATAGAAGGAAAGACTAGATTATCTTTATCTGACAAACAGATGGGAGGGGAGGCGAGTGGGAAGAGAGAGATGTTCTAATCATCCTGTTATAAGCCGGCAGCATCTTATCTGTCATGCAAATGGCATTATTGCCACTTTGGAGAAATGACTGTTGTTTTTAAAGTGAGGCTAATTTAAAGGCTAATTATCTGTGTCATAACTCGCCTGAGTGCAGTATTGAAACAATTATTATGGAAACGAGACTGCAACCTCCCCTTCTGCTCCTACCCACTCTCTCAATTTTTAATCGCTGGCTGCCACTCCGCCGTCTCCCTTCCCTCAATCTCTCACTCGTGCTCGCCTCCTGACTGTTCCTCTTTCTGTGTCTTCTCGCTCCCGCTTTGTTCCCTAATACTGTCTTTGTTTCTCACTTCTTGTCTCCTGTCTTTATCAGAGTACAACATCTCAGCAGCAGCCATCGCCATCTTCAGTCTGTTCTTCATGATCCTGGGCACCCTCTGTGTCATCTTCTCTTTCGGGAAGGGACGGGACTACCTGCTCCGGCCTGCTGGGATGTTTTTCGCCTTTGCAGGTCAGACGTGGCAGATAATGTGAATCACAGATCAGGCTCTGTCTGCTGCTCTTGTCTCTTTGTGTTACAGCTCGACTCGAAGTGAGGTGTGTCAGAGTCGTCGTCACGAGCACCTTTTCCTGATGAATATTACTTATGCAGCTAATTAAACAGTGTTGACAAAGCCAATTTGTCAAGGTGGCAAGTGGTGATGGAGCCGATGCAGCTCTGGGGTGACATTTCAAAATATTTTAATAGTGTTAAATTAACTCTGAGGGGTGTTGACTTCATCTAGCGGTGCATTTATTGTTACCAAGTTAGAATAAAACTGACACTCTTGCCGTGTAAATGTGGAACTGTGACAGCATTTGATTAAACAGTGATGACATCTGCTTTTAATAGCAACCCATTCTCTCTGTTTTGGCACACAGGCCTCTGTATCATCATTTCGGTTGAGGTAATGCGCCAATCTGTCAGGCGCATGATCGACAGTGATGAGACCATCTGGATTGAATACCACTACTCCTGGTCCTTTACCTGCGCCTGCGCCTCCTTCACCCTGCTCATCCTCAGCGGAGGCGCCCTGCTCCTCATCTCCATGCCCCACATGCCACGTAACCCCTGGGAGACCTGCATGGACGCTGAGCCTGACACCTTAGATTAGCCACAGGTGATGCAATGTCTCAGATCTTGATTGAAATGACAAAAAACACAAGTGGTTTTACATCTTTTAGCCCTTTAACTACATATCATATCCCACATATTTATCATTACTGCAAGCTATTTTCCAGAGCATTAAAACGTTTTTCCCATCCTCCATGTCCATTGATTTCAGTTTATGTTAGTAAAATATGAAAATCAACTTGGAGAGATTTGTGATAGATAACCAGCCACAGCAAAAACAATGAAACCCATGTTGTCTTCACAGGGTAAAGCAGCCAGGAACAGGAATTGTTTTGATCGCTCTCAGCCCGGTCCCCAGAATAAAATGCTGGTATTGTATGTTTCTACAAACAACAGTTACATTTGCGCGTTAAACTGGAGCCAACAAAGACAGGACTCAGACGCAAGACTCAAAAACACATCGTCTTTTTACTGCAATCAGTCCAAAAACACAAAGGTATCCAAAGGCAGTGGGTGAAACATGCAAAAATCTGTCCAAATCCAAGAGAACACTTGGGAAAAATAGCCAGAACACACACTCAAACAAATGAGAATGAACTGGCAACAGACACAGGGTAGCACAAGGAGTAAATACACAAGGGAGGAGGGGTAATGAGGGACAGGGGAAACCAATCAGGGCGGGGCAGATAATCACACAAGAACGTACCTGAAATGAGAGACAAGGATGAGTATCTGAAAACAAGGAAAACATGACCTTATCTAGGACCTCAGGGTGTAACACATGTTTCATACATATCATTAACATTTCTAAAGTGACGTGGTTCGGATTACATGTAGCTGAGTTTCTCATCAGGAGGTGGAGGGAATGGTGGATGGTGTCACACCTAGGCAAGATGACAGAAGCAGATGACTGTGCAAGACCAACAAACAACAAAAGTGGATATTTTTTTAAAAAAAGGGAAACGTAAAGTTCCAGGATATAATGTACAAATGTAACGTATCTGTGGTTTGCAGAAATGTAAAATGCCAACATTTATTCTGGTGACTGGGTATAAACTCTTCCTGAGCTGAGGAATGATTAAGTTACATCCAAGATGTTGAAGTCATCTGCTGAGCAACAACTATTTTAAAGGAGCAGTGTCTTAAGTTCAGGATGTTGAAGCTTTCCCCAAGCACCTAAACACACCCACAAGTTAAACACACTAACACACTAAACCAGATAAACGCTTTGTTTAAAGTGAAGTAGTGAATTGTTGTAATGGGCCTCTGTCACTGCAGCAGCTTCTTTTCTCCAAGGACTTCCTACGATAAATCAATGACATTTACTGTCTAGAGAGAGACCACTCTCCTGATGCTCCCTTACTGACATCAATCACTCACTTCAGGTCAATGTTTCAGACCCTGGTGACCAGGACCTCTAATCCATAGTGTTGTACATGGTATGTGTTGAACCTCTGGGTTTTTATCAAATGTATTCTGCTTTTAGTCTGCATTTAAAAATAACTGACCGTTTGCTAAATCCTTGGCCTCATCAGCCATTGTCCGAACATAACTGTAACCATGTGCGGCATGTCTTTCAAGCTAAAGATTTCTCCACGTTAAAGCGCTGTGCATCTGCTTGGACACTAAGTGTTATTGCAAAGCCAGTGGTAATTCACTGGTAAGTAATTAATTTTTTCAGGGTTGCAGGTACAATAATACAAACAACAATCTAAACAGAGTTATGTTTGAATGAAACAACAGTCTCTTTCATAATTCATTGTCATACTTTTATTATTAGGACTGTAAAACTGTAAACGGGAACACATATATGTACACCATTCTTCCTGAAATTCATTTATGAGTTTATACAATATCCCACCCCCGCACCAACCCCTAAACAGACACGTATGGAAGACACTGCGAATGACACCTCATCTATGCAAGCATAGAACAAACAACATGTATTAAGATACATAGCCTACGTACACACAATTACACTTACGGAAAGCAATGTTTTAATACATATCTTAATGGTAGTAACAGTCACAGTTCTTATAAATAAATCTTGCATGTCGTCGCCGTCCAATGGAGACCACCCAATTCCAAAGCATAGGGGTCCTGAACCTCTTAATGTGACTGAATGTGGGAGTGTTTTTACATAAACTGAGACACATCTGACACTTCTGAAGCTGTACAACCAACAAGGCTGCTAAAATGGGTGTTCCCTCTAAGCTATGAGAAGTTGACATACTGGAGGTGCATGGCTCTCACGGGACAACTACATACATACATACACAGATACATAAAGTTAAAGGTCATTATCGATATATTCATGTACCTCTGAAGCCCAATTTGTAGTTTGCCTTCTATACTAATTAAGACTGGCTGCCCAGGGAGCAGGAATTGGATCATTACATTCTTATATGAATGATTTTATGTATGATAATCACAGCTTTGTCTCCATTGTACACTGCATATGGAAAGCAGCCATAGCTAAGGGGGCGTGGCTTAGCAAATGGTCCATTACTTTGCCACATTACTGGGCTGTGAAGGAACCTTCACATAAACATCCATAAGAAATGTATTTAAGAAGAAAATATAGATGTTTGTTGCGCTTATATGTATATGTATATTTTTTGCAATGCTGTATTAAATTGTGTTACTTTTAATTTGGGGCCGTAAATGCCTAAAGCTAAAATATTTAGGATAAGTATGACACAGATGACTTTTTCATTTTAGTATTACCTATGATTGTAAGATGGTTCCTTAAAGCTTTTCAGTTCTCTCAATATTGTTGCTGTCAGATGAAAACCTCATTCAATGGACAGACTTTATTTTAAGTAGCTTTTTAATTGTTTCCATGTTCAAATCATAGATGACCTTTCTGATTCTCGTGCAATCAATAAAAACACACAAATCAGATTTCACCTGACAGCAGTAATTTTTATTTGGCTCTTTTTTTCCAGTGTAGATTTCACGCAAGAGTCATATATTGTTAATCAACCAGCCATCCACATTGAACATGTTATTCTGAGTCACTCTGGCCCCCGAAGTCATTCAACCGGTGCAGGTGCAGTGAAATTAAAGTTCCCTAAATGACACTGTTCCACGGGGGAACACGAGAAGAAATGATTACATTTAGCTCTGAGGCCCTTCTGTGAGGAACATTTTCATTTTTCTTACTGCAGCCACAAAACAGATTTAATCGTTGTACAGGTTTGTATTTGAGAAAACTGAAACAATACCTGTATGGTTTTCATTTTATTAACTGTTTTATGTAATGTACACATGAATTCTGCCACGGACAGCTAAAAAAATGAGAGATGTTTGATTTAATATACACAATAAACCTGTAGGAGTTTCAAAACTCAGCTAGAGTTTAGTAGAAAACATCTGATTTGTATTTTATTTTAGATATGTACATGTTTTGATTAAGTATATTTCCATGATTGTCTTTTTTTCAAAAGGTCAGTAATGCTGTTTTAAGTTGGTATGACTTCTTATACGCAAGTTTCTTCTACCAATATGTAATGACGTATAATCATGTTAGATCCATGGAAATAATTGTAACACATATAGAATAAAGCAGGGTTGCAGTCCGTCCACATGATTTTATATGTGTACTTTTAGAGTCAATGGATGTGCATTTATTCAGGAAATAAAAATGGCATTTTGTCTTTTCTTTACTGAGAATTCAACTCTCCTTGTGTCCATGCCCACACATTTGCAGAGTCGCTTCGGTCCAGGAACCTCACAACCAGAATCGAGAGACAAACCCATTGGAAATGCTCCAGAGACCTTATACAGTGCAGATCAGGGCTTTTCAGAGGCGGATGTAATGGATGCACGAAGCTCCCTAAATGATTCATGAGACCTTTACCTTAGAGTAATGAGAGCAGCATGGGCAAAGCATACACTATTTACTGTTGGCCGCCTACATTGGTTTTGATCCCTGGAATTCCCCCGTGGGTTTCGTTTATACTGTTTGCTCAAACACAATCCCTGCCTCCATGTGAGAAACAATGTGTCTGATATTATGCCAATTAAAACAACACGCACAAAAATGTTGTGTTTATGACTCACACGTTTTTGTGCCCTTTTGCTAACATGTGCATGGTTTAAAGCCGGAGCACGTATTGCTTGGTAGACTATATGGAATTTTGCAGTGGATCCATTTATTAATTCTCTATACAGTAACCTGAAAGGCCAATTGTGCTCGGAGAAATGTGTGAATAATTTAAACTTGCTCATCAGGCAATAAAAAAAGACACATACATACCCCATTAGGAATTAATTTGGATTTACTTTAACATGCTGTTAGATTTGTAATTGTGTTTCTTGTGGGAAAGATCAAGGGAATATGTAATTGATGAGAGACTAAACCAGACAGCTCATGTGTGCTACCAACATGTTCTCATCTGAAAGCACACTTTTCCCATATGCTCAAAGGTGACCATATTTGGACAAGAGGGTGGAACTTGGAGGAGCAGTGAGTGGGTGCCATGGATTTGCATTGCTACACAGACTTGTCAGTCACAAGCCCTGAGGCATACTCTGCTTTATTGTCTGTTTGTTTTCTATTTCTCTGTTTATTGTCTATGGGACCATCATTGTAGAAAATAAACATCATGATGTATTGAGGGAGACTTAAAATCAGCAATTGAGACCATAAACGTGTTAGGAAAATGTTTCCTCAGGTAATAAATCAAGTAAGAAGTAGGGTCATTTTCATAAAATAGAGCTACGTTCACTAACTAGTTTATACATGAAGATGTAAGTTATGGAATAAATCAGAAATGCCTCTGGACATGTGACCACGGGGCTGATAATAATTTCAGAAATGCCACTTACCTTTGTGTCACTATGTGGATGAGGAAAGCTGACTTATGCAGCAGTCAACGGGTCCTTTGAGTCACTGCTCCGAATGTAAAGCTGTCAGTCCCTTCCCTGACCTCTGACTGAGAGTTGTCAAAGCTGTTACTATTTTCTACACACAGCAGGACAGTACAAGCATTATAAATTCAGCTGTGTCTCTCACAGAGTGCATGAGCAGGTTTAAAATCATTGGGTTAGGTCTGGTGGACAGAGAAGAAAAAGAACATGAAATTATGTTGAAATGATGGGCTTGGCTTGGTGACAGCAACATACAGATACATAAACACCCTGAAAATGTACAGGTGGAGACGAGATGGCCATGGAGACGAACCGACAGAAGAAAATACAATCAAACCACCTGTGAAGCTCAACTAGTAGCACAAAGGAAACAATTAAGGGAAAATAGGAAAATACAGAGACAGCAAAAAACACTTTTGGACAAAGTGCTGAAAGTGCAATTTATTTCTAAATTTCTCTGAATGCTGCTCTTTTCTTTGGGTCTATCCCAATAGCTACATTTGCAATACTTGAGAGCAGTCAGATGCTTACAAGTATGGGACAGCAGGCTGTTTTTTTTACTGTTTAATCTGTGTATAACACACCTAATCATGAGCAAGTACTCCATGTACTGTATAACTCACGTAATCAGGAGCACTGCATCATGTGACCAATGCGCTGACGGGAGTAAAGATGGAAGTAGTGTAAAGACCTGCATAAGTAGGGAGGCTGGATTGTGGATGGGTCAAACAGGACTTTCACCTACGAGACTGGAGTTTGTGTCAGTGTGAAACCAAGTGAACTTTGAGTTATTTTAGGGTACATCATCTCTATGTGTCTTTTCTTAACCCTAACCCACATCACTTTCGGTTATGTTTTAGCAAGATATTTGTGGCATTTCCAGCGGCAACTGTGCCATCAAAATCATTTTGGTGGCTTTTTAGCGACACATAGCCAGCCTTTCTGGTGACAAGTGCCCCCAAAACCAACTGTCATTAGGTACATGATGTAATTTGTAGGGCACTAATTCGCTAGATATCATATGAAATTGTATGAGGATACATTTAGGACAGACAGACCCCGATTTAGTGCCTTGTATACTTTTCTTTATACACA